CGCTATGCTGACTTGACGTTTACAAAGTGATCAAGTTTATATCGAAGTTGTTAGTCGGCTGAGAGAAGACTTCTATCAACCAGTAGCAGATTGCAGAGATAGCTCAGACTTGCTGACCGCTTATAACTCATTACGTTGAAAAATTTCTTCAATAAGTTTAAATTGAAATACCTTCTCGTAGGCATGTTTACTTTTAATTAGCATACGATTTTTATCGCGACGCAATATTTTTATACACTTGGTTGACGATGGTCGGTTTTAACCCGCCCTATATGGTAAGTATGAAGAACTAATTAATTACCGCCTTGTGACTAGAAATGGCTCATATCTAGCAATGTTCGGATTCTTGTTTTTCTGCAATTTGTGATTTGCCCACATCGGGTAATAATTAGAGAGATTAACGAGCTGCGAATATTTAACCCATTTCATTACCCTCGGACACAAATTAGGTACGATTCGTCATTGTCTCTTCAGTTTAGATCAGCGATTCCCAACCTGTGGTACGCATACCCCTGCAATTGGGCTTTAAGGGGTACGCAAAAAATTTCAGTAACCGATATTTTAACAATATGTTATTGCGTACATCGTTAAGTTTGGGAATTTAAATAAAATCTTGCGTAGTAAAATAAGACTTATATATACTGACTTTAGACAGAAAAAGACAAACATTCGCACACAAGATTTTGTTCTGGTGATCAATGAATAGTGTGAAATCAACCTTGTAGCTTGGAAGAACATGAACTAACATCAGGGCACTCGAAAAACCTGATTTTCTGGAAGTGGTGTTCCCTTAAATACGCGAGACAAGGTGAAAAGGGGGGGGGGGTGCTGTTGTTAGTTCCCGAAGGTGGAAGGAGCGTGTAATTGTGTAAGTTACGAACGTTTTGCGAAATAGTGTGTAAAAGAAGTTAAACAGTCTTAATAACCCAGTGAAGTTGTAAAAGTTTGTGCAAGGTTTTTGTAAACGGAGTCATCAAAGCAGTTGTCTGCTTAGTGAAAGTTAAAAGTTTCTACCGTCAGAACAGCCGTCGAGAATCTCTTTCATCTTGCTTATCAAGCTATCGAGTGATTATGTTCAGTTTTTTTTAAAGACAAAATGAAGATTCCCGAAGCTGCCAACAAGTGTTTTTGTCTATTGTAATCGGCTGGTTACTTTTCAAGTTTCTTCTTCAAGCTACTTTATTTCGGGGTGGTTCTTCTTACATAAAACAATTGTTGTTGGGCTCCGACTAGCATTCAGTCGATGGTCCTTTTCTGGCCTCGAGGAAATGGAAAAGGATAAATGAATAAAAAGCAATAATCTTTATTAAAACCTATTACGTTCTTATTTTCTTAGAAATTCGCCTTTAATCTGTAAGTCACAAATGTTAAAAGAAATGGGGATTGAGGGGGCAAACTCCTGTAAAAGTAAGGTTAGCTCGTTCATTCACAAAATTCACTGCACAAAAAGGAAAATCTATCTTTATTACGTTAACTGAAATCAAAATGTTTAGGTACCCTAGAACCGCCGAGTACAGAAAGAAACTCTTCTCAGGCTCGAGTCGTTAACATGAAAGCAAACAGTGCTTATCTGAACTCAAATCACCAGTAGGGACTTAAGTCGCCTTTACAATACTACAACAAAACTACAACGGAGTGAACTAGGAAAAACGGTAAACTAGGACGCAATAAAGTCTTATGACAGTTTATAATAGTTTTTATGTATTAAGGGCATAATAGTGATGTTTATATTCTAGAAGGCGACGAGTTAAAAAGCTGGAGGGCCAATGGCCCGAGAGCTTTTTAGTCGCCCGAGAGTATAAACATCAGTTTATGCCCGTGGTACATACACAATTTTATGTTTTACAAATAGTTTTCTTCGTCAAAGTAAATATTCGTTTACAAAAGAATTCATTATGTTTGATCATGTATGCGTGGTTTGCGGCGGTTTTCTTAACTTGCTCGCAATTTATCGTTATTTTGGTAAAGGTTTCCTAACAAACTGAACGTAGGTACGCCATTTTGCCGTGGATGTTTCCCTTTACAAAATAACAGTAATTTTTCAGGTTCGTGTCGGTGTGAAAAATCTTCTTTTTCTCTCTTCAAAGTACTTAGGACTTACCTTCTGTACCTCTTTAACCCGCTAGCTCAGATAATAACATGGGTGCAAATAGGAAGATAATTCGTTCTATTCTAGCTCACGGTATAACATTCATTAATCATAAAAACGTAACCAAAATTTGGAAGAATGTTGTTTTGACGTTACTACTCTCATATGCTTCCGAGATTGGTATGTAAAGGCAACAATTTGGGTTTCCTTTATAAGCAAACTTCTTGACCTCCTTGAGAAATTACAGAGAATTAACATTAATTATCCTTAATACCTTTATTTGAAAGTCAATGGATTTAAAACATATAAATATCTCCGCCCTTAAAAGAACGGTAAAGCTTAATAATCAAAAATAACGGACATTTCCTTTAACTGGTACCTTAATCAAATTTAACTGTTATACAATCCCCTAAAATACATAAAACCCCAAAAGTCAAATATAAAATTGTTCAGATCGATCAAAAATACGCAAACTTCACGATTTAATCAAGTTTATCAAATATAAAACTGCAAATTCTACCTTAATTCATCTCGGTAATGGCGTTGCTTCTTATCTAATCGCCTTACATCCGCTGGGAACAGGTTGGTGACCTCGCATTCTAGGCGTTCGGTTTTGTCGTTACAGGAAATCAAACTGGTGGTGGTGGACTGCCAAATTTCCCAAATCTAATCTTCTCAAGGTGGAAATACCCAAAAATACTCGCTGGCGGAAAACAATACGCCGGCGGGAAAAACTAACGCTGCATAGGCTCCTCTTCCAGGCTGGGAAACAAACTACGTTGGCACGCAGACCCCAAATTCCACCCTTAGATAACGATGTGGGCGTAAAATATCTCGATAACTTTATTTACGCTATATCAATTTTAAAACGTTCGGCGACGTCACACTACCGCTTTTGACTTTTTGTTGCGTATTGAAATCGTAGTACGCTAACTGCGTATACCGCGTACTGCAAATTTCCAGACACTAATCACCACCTTTACTACTCGATGGTTGAACGCCGACTCCCCGCACTTTTACTCCGCATAAAAATTCCCCTCGCACCGTATAAATCGCATTCATATAAAAATGAAACAAAAGCACTTTAAAAATAGAATCTGTCCTTTGCACTTTATATCTAAGTTACATTGTAATCAAAAAATTCTTTCTAGGACGTAAAGAACGTGTAAATTTGGTTTTAAAAAACTCCAACCCATTACAG